GCCCTGGTAGGAGGCTCGCCATGGCTCCCAGCACTCAGGAGGCCACACCAAGAGGCTTGCCATGAGTTTGAGGTCAGTCTGGGCTACACAGTGAGTTCAAACTAGCCTGAGCTATACAGAGTGAGACCTTGTCTCAAAAACCTAAAAAGCAAAACAAAAACTCACAGATTTTCTTTCTTTCTTTTTCTTTTTTTTTTATTTTTAGGGAAAGGTCTACAGGGTGTTGAGGGTCTCACTACTAGATCGGACTCACAGTAATCTGCCTGTTTACAGCCTCCCAAGAGCTGGGATTACAGGCGCCACCACGCCCAGTCTCAGTTGCTGTCTCAGCGTGCCCCGGGGACGGGGCCCCACAGCAGTCCCCGGGATCGAATCCTGGTCCCTGTGCCTGCTTGCAGGCACTTTAATCCACTGAGCTATTTGGTTGACCCTCACAGATTTTCTTACAGGATTGTGAATGTCAGGTTTTTGTGCCCCAGTGTAATAACGGATCTGCAGTTTTAAGTGCAGGCAATTCGCCCACTTCAAAAAAAAAAAAAAAAAAAAAAAAAAAATTACTTGGACTCTCAGCTGTGACCCTATTTTTAAAAATTATATTGAATAAATAATACCTATAAATATAAAATTTGGTATTAGCTCCTTTTCCTTAGAACTGTTATTCATGACTACAAAGCAAAACCAATTTGCAAATTATTTCATTCTAAGTGCAAATAAACGTACCAAGTAAACGCAGAGCCATGGTGCTTTTGGCTCATCCAAAGCCCACTTGCGCAGGGCGGGGACTGGGTGCAGTAGCGCTTACTTCTCCCCCAGGACTCTGGGTTTCAGAGTCGGGGCTGCCTTGACTGTCTATAGTGCACGGGGAACTGGCAGTTATTTTGTCTCCACTGGGTGGGATCAAGTCACTTCCGTGTGAGTCCAGCCCCGTCCTTGTCATCTAGCTCAGCTTTCTCACTCTGATGGGCCCAGGTGCCCTGGGGACCTTGTTCTTGCAGGTCCCGGTCCCGACTCTGCTAGCCGTGGGCAGAGAGGAGATGCCGCTTTCCTAACAGCTGGGTTGTGTCCGCAGAAGGGCGCGCCAGACGTTGGAGTCACACATCTTGGTGTGGGGCGCTGAGGCCCAGGGCAGCGGTGGCTTTGGCACCTGGCGGTTGAAGTTGGTTAGATTATGGTCAGTTCAGATGGTATAAAGTAATTCTTGAACACCAGAATATGAAGGGAAGAAAACATCTATGAAGCAAACTCGGCAGGGTCCACCAGATGGCAGGCTTGGGCAGCGCAGGCGGGTGGGTGGGCGGTGGCGTGGGTGGCGCTGCCCCCTGTGCCAGGACTGCTGGCAAAAGTCTGGTGTCAGTGCCCCCGGCATTCAGTTGCCTCCCTTTGGAGTCCAGCCTTTCTGTATGCTTTGTGATGGTGACAGTGAAAAGGTAAGGAGAGCACACCAGGAGGCGGCTGCTGACGGGAGAGCTGAGGCTAGGCCTCCTGTGGGCCCAGCTGCGGACCAGAACCCGTGCCCTCAGGGCGCCTAGAGTCTGTCCTGCCCCGTCTGTGCTCCCTTCTTCCCTCCCTCCTTCACTGCCTTGTGCGATATGGTAGAGTAGATTTATGAATATTTCAAGCGCAAAATGATATGTAGTGCCTTCCTTATATGGAAAAAGTTACCCGAGAAGGCACTAATTGATTTGAGCCTGGCGAGCCGCTTCCTCGAGGGGGCAGCCCTGATCTCTGTACTGGGGCTAGAAGCTGCCATGAGCCCTCTTGGGCCTGTGGGGCCACACCAGCAAGTCAAGGACATGATTGTTGGAGTCTTGTTGTAGCACTTACCTGCCAGAGGAGCCCGGCTCCTGTGGAGAGGGCCAGGCAGTGGGGCAGCTCTTAAACCTTCTGTGATTGTAAAACCTAAGAATGTTCAAGCTGAACAAACGGCAGGGATCCTTTAATCTGTTGTGATTTTATAAGTGGAATAAAATTAATCTCGTGCAATAGTTCCTAAGTGACAAGACTTGTCACCAGTTTCACCAAAATGAAAGTCAGTTGCAATGGATTTTCCATAAAGCTGCCTATGTACATTCAGTTTGAAAACTCATCCTGAAATTATTTATGTTTTTGAAATTGGGGGGCTTTAAATAGCTGGTCTTTTCTGAAATGATGGTGAAGGTCAGTAATGAAGCAAAGCCTGGCCGCCCTGTGTCTGCCCCGGTTGGGCTCTGGACTCTGAGGCAGGGAGCCCAGTGGCTCTTCCTTGCCGGATCCTGTCTCCACGGCTGAGCTGGCTGTGCTCTGGGGTTAGCAATCCTCTTGTCTGTGTTCAGTCAGCGGCCCGAAGCCTCTGTGCCCTCACGAGAGTCTCATGAGCGTTCAGGGCTTGCGGCTACCAGGCCGGGGCTGCTGCTCACAGACAGCCAGAAGCACGGCCTCCCAAGCTCTGAGCTAAGAATCCCAAGGCCCAGGCCACGTGCTGCAGTCCCCTGAGAAGGTGCAGGAGAGGGATCCCACTGGGTCCCGCGGGAGAACCGTGGTCCTGGGTTCCTGCAGCAGGTCCACTTCAGGACAGCTTCTTTTCCAGAGGCAGATGGTGGGGCGGTGGCAGTGGCTGGGGGCATGCTGGCCAGACCCCAGATGGTGACCACGGTGCTGCTGTCCTGCGTCGGGAAAGAGCTGAGTGCAGCTGGCAGCTGTTTGCACAGACCACACACACACACACACACACACAACCCGTGGCCTGTAAGGAGAGCCACCAGATCCAGGGGATGGGGTGGCTGGGGCTCTGTGGCAGCCATCTCTCTGCATGAAAGTCCACGTAGAGAGAGAGTGGCAGGAGCAGGGAGACGACAGGCTGCGCAGCTGCATCCCGAGAGCCCAGGAGGCTGCACTGGCCAAACCAGAGCTCGGCGGGACGTGCTGGGGAGGCCGGGAGGACCTGAGCAGCGTCCAGCCCGCGCAGTCTGCCCTCTGCTGCCCTCCAGGGAAGCTTGTCTGCCACAGGCAGCGGCTCGCCCATCCCTTGCTCCTGCAAGCCACCCCACTTCCCTGCCACCCGGGCTCAGTGGTCCCATGGCTGGAGGGCAAGCTGCAGCCTGCTCCGCTCTGCTGTCCAACAGCGCACCTGCTCCTCCCCGAACTGCGCACTCGCACCCCTGGCCCCCTGACCAGCCTGTCACTTAGGATTCCCCTCTCCAGTGAGCCTTCAGCCCCCTTGCTTTCGGCCATCCCCATCTGTCCTGAGCTTTCTTGTTCTCTTCCTTAGCGTCTGTTAGCCTTCTCTCCCCTGCTCCTGTTCCCCCTCTTCCTTTATCTCTGACTTTAGGAGGAAGGCCATGTTCGGAGGTGGGATGGGGTCTCGCCTCCCAGCCCTGCCACTTGCACAGCCCGTTCCAGACTCTTCTGTCCCCTTGCATGCGGCATGGCCTTGAGTCACCCAGAGCCACCTTCTCTTGGGACGTGCCTCCTCCCTCTGCCTCTTGGAGCTGTCCCTACGACCAGGTATGGCCAGCCACCCGCACCTTCACAAGGCACCCTTCTGGCAGTTCAGGCAGCCCCAGCCCCCTGGACTTTGCTTCCTGCATGGACATGGCTTTGGGCAAGGCCAGGAAGGACAGGCCCTTCTTGGGTTCTTGCCTCGTATTCTGCTCGTGGGTGGCCTGGGCTGGCTTTCACAGCTCCCTGACCCCGACGATTCCACGTTCAAGGGCCAGGCCTCTCCCTCACCACTCAGCCTCCCCCACAGGCCCTGCCTGTGTTAGTTTTCAACACCTGCCTGTTGTTAAAATTCTGTGAGATGTGTGCCTGTAATCTCAGCATTTGGGAGGCTGAGGCTGGAGAAGTGCAAGTTCGAGTCCTCCTGGGGCCATTTAAAAGCCCCAGGATCAGAACAAAAAGGGCTGTGGGTGTAATGGGTGAGAAGACCTTGGTCACAGTCTCCCATGCCACTCGATGAGTAGGCAGAGGGCCAGGATTCTGAGGATGGGGCACTGCCTGCCATGTGCCAGGCCCCTGGTTTAGTACCTAGTGCCACCCAAACACTCAAACAACTCCCACATTGTAAGTTCCTTTCTTAGAGCAAGAGAGTGAAGACCAGTTTTTCCACTGAGTGAAGGAAAACCTGAAAGGATGATTGGAGTAGCATCTCCTCAGCTGGGAATTTAAGATGCAGGCCGATTTCGCAGGGACTGACTGGAGTGATAAGCGTGCATCAGCGCTGCTCCGCGCAGCTCCGCGCAGCGTGTGGCTGAGGCTGGCTCTGAGGCCACTGCGTCCTTCTGAGCCTCTCTCCTTGTGTGTGCTTCATAGAGTTGGGTGCGCTTAGTGAGTCAGCAGAACATTGTGATGTGTTTGTTCCGTTTCAGTGGGTGGCAGCCACTGTGGGGTGTGCCACAGGCCACTCTGGTAGGTGACTTGGGCAAAACCCTTGCAAGAGCGTTTCAGGGCCCAGAGATCTGCTGCTGAGCGCCTTCATGGGTCAATCTTGCAGGTCTACTAAGGGGCTGCAAGGGTGGCCACAGTGGGGTCGTCCCAGGAGGATGGGGGTGCGCAGGCTCGGGGCTGGCACGGAGGTTCATTCCAAGGAAAGAGGCCTTTCTCAGCACTTTTCTGGGACAACAAGGGGAATCTTGTGGGCAGTGTGCACTCAGGTATCTGAGTAAGGCCTGGCCACTGGCCACTGCCCACTGTCAGAACGCTGTGATCTCGCGACAAAGCAGGCTGTGTCCCGAGCCCCTCCGTGGTAGGGCTGTGACCAGGCTGACCTTTGGCCCTGGGTCTGCCCCACACTGTGGAGGCCCTGTTGAAGAGCTCTAGGGTACGGATACTGGGAAGATACTAAGTGGGCGCACGGATACCAGCTAGCAGGCTGGCGGGCGCCCTGCGCATCCAGCTGGATCTAGTTTTTCTATTTAGGATTGATTCACCCACTCCAGGGAAAGGAGTGTAGACAAAACTGCTAGAGAGCGGGCGGGTGGGCTCGTGCTGCCGTCTGAAAGCTGCCCTTTCTCTTTCTTCAGGGGAAGGTGGAAGTAGAGGCTGGGAAGGAAGGCATGAAGTTTGAAGCAAGCGCTTTCTCATACTACGGTGTGATGGCCCTCACGGCCTCGCCAGGTGAGTCTACCCTGCCTCGCAGGAAGTCAGGCCTTTGCGTCAGCGCGGCCGACTATGCTGTCTGGTTTGATCCCTCCCCTGATGTGGTTCTGGTGCTTTGAGACTGCAGGTGACAAGTGTGTGCCTTCCTGAGCTGTCACACTGAGCACCTGTGGGGCTCAAGGGCCTCCCTGGCCACTTTCCCCCAAGTAACCACTGCCATTTTGAACATGGTGAAACTGGAATTGCACAGGTTGTCACCCCATGCCTGTCACTCCGAGCCTGGCTGTCCCCTGTGCGGCCCCCCGCTGCCCTGTGTGGGCCTTGCCCTGCTGTGGAACAGCCTATAGCTAGGCCGAGGGACGCGGTGGCCGCCTGGTTCCCTGCAGCACACCATGCGGCTGCGTGTGCGCCCCTGTGCCGCGCAGGGGTGTGTGTCCCATGCGCTTCCGCAGCTCTGCACACGGCAGCCGCACCCAGGGGCTGCGCTCAGCGCCCCACTCTGGTCTTCTCAGGAGGAGCTGTGCGGAGCTTCCGATTGCCTTTCCCTAACTGGCACGGCTGCTGCTGTTCCTGGCCGCATGGGGTGTGGGGTAGGGGAGTGCTGACTCCGGCGGGCGTTGGCCACGTTGTGAGCACGAGGAGCCTGCAGGTGGCCCCTGCCCCAGAAGGAGCGTGCACGCCAGCCCCTGCCACCTTCCCTTGGCCTCTGGCCTCGGGCCCTGACCCTCTCCGCCTCACCTGTCTTTCCACGCGCCACGCAGGCAGGCACAGCCCCCAGGTAGACAGGTGTTGGAGTGCCACCTCGTGGCCAAAATACCAAGTGACATGCTGTGCCTGGAAAAGAGCGTGGCTCTGGCCGGCCCACAGCCCTTCCTTCCTACGAGAAGGCTGGCCCTTCTCCAGCCTTGTCTGAAAGCGGGAGGGGCTCTACCTCCAGCCCCACTGTCCCCACTGTCTAAGGGGCCCAAGGATGCAGCAGTGAGAGAGCCAGACGCGCGGCAAGGCCCGGCTCCGCACGCTCTTGCGCTCTGTCCTCCGCACTGTCACCTTGGACCTGTCTTCACTCACCTTAAGGAAGTCCTTTTTAAGCTTGATGGTGAGCATCAGGACTTAGTGACGGGATGCTTCGCAACCAGGCGTGGGAGGCCTGGCCATTTCTGCAGCTGTGTAGAGGTGAAAGGGGTTTGCTCCTTATCCCAAGTTACAGTGCCACTGCCTGTTACTAGGACAGAGGCAGTGACACTCAAGGAGGTGCAGCCAGAGGAGCTGCTCTAAAGCACGCAGGTGGCGAGGCACACAGCTACATGGTGAGGCTGTCTCAGAAAAACAAACCAAACTGAACAAACACAGAAGAAAGCTATTGTAAGTGTGACTATTTCTTACAGCCAAACTCAAATTAGTCCCAGGTTATCAGAACCAAGTCTGCAACGCAGTTTTAAAAAAGAAAAGCTGAGTTCAATCTCTGGTACCACCACCAAAAAAAAAAAAAAGAAAAGAAAAGAAAAGAAGAGAGGTGCGTGCTATATTTGTATTGGTTCCTGTTTCTTTAAACCTAAACCTTAGCTCAGGCCATACTGGCCCGTCACTAAAGGCCAAATCCTTCTCATAAAAGGACTCGAGGGCTGGAGAGATGGCTCAGTGGTCTAAAGCACCTACTTAGAACAAGCTTATCAAAGCACAGGGACCGCGGTTCAATCCCCAGCACCACATGCCAGCCAGCCCCGCCCCCTGGTGGGCTGAGCGGGCCACACACACACACACACACACACACACACACAAATAAATAAATAAAATTTTTTAAAAAAAAGGACTCGAAGAATGGCCCCTCGCAAGGAAACCGTTTCTGCCGCCACAGCCCCCTCACCTAGGTTGGAACCAGCAACAAGAAAGGGGAGTTCGTTAACAGCCACTCATTTATTCCAAAGCCTCACGTGTCACTTGACCTTGCAACTGAGACCCGGGCTTCTGTGTTCGTGGGGAGCTACGCTCGGTGTGGGCTCGCGCCACAGAGATGGCTGCTGCTCGCTGCCCCAGGCCCCGCCTGGCAGGCACATAGGTCCTTGTTCTCTGGGCATGAGCCCTGCGTCCGGGCTGCAGCTTGGGGCTCAGCAGGCAGGGATGGACAGGTCCTCAGTCGGCCAGCTCGGGAAGTCGGGGCTTAACGTTCTTGACTGCCTCCTGTTCTCTATTTTGACATTTGAAATAATTCTAAGGAAATTCCAATTATCAGGTCAAAATGACAGACTGGGTGTGCCCAGGCACCGGCTAGCAAGCTGCTGGCACCGGAGGAGCGCTGCGGGTGCCAGGGCAGGAGAGCGCGGGCAGCCGGGCGGCGGCTGCGGGAGCCGCGGGAGGTGGCTGCCGCCGGCGCGCCCTCTGCGGCCGGCCCGAGGCGGGCTGTGCTCCGCTCCGCAGTCTCCGCCGCCCGCGGGCGCTGGGTGGGGCTGAGGGCTCGCCTGGGAAGAGCCCGCCCGCTGCTGTGCCCGGCTGTAGACAGCCTCGCTTGCCTTCGATGCGGTCTCACCCTGTTTTTCTCCGTTTTCAGTTCCTTTGTCCCTGTCCCGTACCTTTGTTGTCAGCAGAACAGAGCTGTTAGCGGCAGGCTCTCCAGGTAATTGTGCATGTTTCCTTCTCGCGATTCTCCCAGCTGCTTCCCGTCGTCGGCCCGGGAAGGCCCGCTGCTGCGTCGTCGCTCCCTCTGTTCAATCCCCAAACCCTAAGGTTCTCAGGGTTGATAGTGAGCTGTCGAGGAAAGCACTTGCGGGCCGCGGAGATGGCTCAGTAGAATAAGCGCTTCCCTGGCAAGCACATGCCGCAGCAGCTGCAGAGAGCTGCGGCAACCCGGAACCCGCGTCATGCCGCGGGCACGCGCGGGCCCTGCCTGCTCCCCTGCCCCGCGGGCCAGGAGTCCTCGCCACAGCAGGCAGGGGCGTGGGCTGGCGGGGTGCTGTGGGCCTCGGAACGAGAGTGGCGCTTGCTGCAGGATGCAAGCAGCCAGGATGGAAGGACCAGGAGCCGTGCTGAGCGAGCGAGCGAGCGAGCGAGCGGGGAAGATGCCCTCCTGCTTCTGGCCTCTTTCCTGGGCATGCGGGCGCATAGGTGCGCGCGCTCCTGCCCTCCCAGCAGCTGGCCCTGCTTCGTTCTTTGTTTTGAAATTAGTACTGTGCACATTCATAGCCAGCTGCTGGTTACTTCCCTATCGGAGACCCTCGCCATGCCTGGCTAATATCTACAGCCCTTAAAAAGAAAGGGAAAGCTTAATCTTTCCTTAATTAAAATTTCTAGGTTTTCTTATTGGGTAACAATTTTTCTGTATTATTTTGCCCCACATGGTTTTTATTTTTAAACCTGAGTGATGAAATTTGCTTTCCATAGTCTACTCTTAAATGCTGATATTTGATGAAGGAAGCATTTTTTGTCTTAGATGGAAACTAACATGTCCTCAGATCTTCGCTTAAAAGTTTAAGTATTTGGGGATGAAATATGATCTACAGAGGCATTTCAGTGAAGGCAATCTGTAGAACACATCTGTATGCACACGTGCGTGCACACACGCTGCACATGTGTGGGCATATGGGTGGGCACATGTGTGGGCACATGGGTGAGCACGTGGGTGGGCATGTGGGTGATCACATGTGTGGGCACGTGGGTGAGCACTGTGTGGGTACGTGGGTGAGCACGTGGGTAAGCACGTGGGTGAGCACATGTGTGGGCACATGGGTGAGCACGTGTGTGGGCGCGTGGGTGAGCACGTGTGTGGGCACAGGGGTGAGCTTGTGTATGGGCACGTGGGTGGGCACAGGAGTGAGCACATGTGTGGGCACATAGGTGAACATGTGTGGGCACATGGGTGAGCACATGGGTGGACATGTGGGTGGGCATGTGCGTGGGCACATGGTGAGCACGTGTGGGCATATATGTGTGCATATGGGTGAGCACATGTGTGGGCACATGGGTGGACATGTGGGTGAGCATGTGTGTGGGCACATGGTGAGCATGTGTGGGCATATATGTGTGCATATGGGTGAGCACGTGTGTGGGCACATGAGTGAGCATGTGGTTGGGCACGTGGGTGGGCACAGGGGTGAGCACATACTGGGGCATATAGGTGAGCACATGCATGAGCATATGTGTGAGCACATTTGTAGGCACATGGGTGAGCACATGAGTATGTGCATGTGCATATGGGTGAGCACGTGTGTGGGCACAGGGGTCAGCACATGTGTGGGTACATGAGCACGTGTGTGGGTACATGGGTGAGCACGTGTGTGGGCACATGGATGAGCATTTGCATGGTTATATTTTCTCTCCCCATTGTATTTCTTATATCTGCTGCCTATTTGTTATGTTTTTATTTTTTGAGATAGGGTTTCACCTTGCAGTTCAGGCTGACTTTGAGCTCCCTATGTAGCTCAGGATGGCCTCAAACTCTCAGTGATCCTCCTGCTTCAGCTTCCCAAGTACCGACGTTACAGGCATGAGCCATCACACCCGCTTCTGCTACCTATTTATAGTGTCCTAGATGCTTAAGTAGGTGATTTTTGGCTGAAGCCCAAAGAAAGGTCATTTGTATTTTGCTTTTACTGTAGAACTTAGACTTCTTGGTTCTGCTCCCACCACCCGATCCAGAATGGAAAAGCGGGGCTGGAGAGATGGCTCAGTGGTCTAAAGCACCTATTTGGAACAAGCTTGGCAAAGCATCAGGGACCGCGGTTCGATCCCCAGCACCACATGCCAGCCAGCCCCGCCC